TTGATAAAGGGTTAATATCCAAAATATGTAAAAAACGTACACAACTTAGTGTGGGTGTGAAAGTGTGTGTGTGTGTTTGTGTGTGTGTGGGTGTGTACACACACTAAACAATCCAGTTAAAAATTGGGCAAAGGATTTGAATAGACATTTTTCCAAAGAAGACCTACAGATGGCCAATGGGCACATGAAAAAGTGCTCAACATCACTAATCATCAGGGAAATGCAAATCAAAACCACTATGAGATGTACACCTTATGAGGAATTAGTTGTTCTCAAAAGATGAAAAAATAACAAGTGTTGGCAAGGATGTGAAGAAAAGGGAACCCTTGTGCACTGTTGGTAGGAATATAAATTGGTGCAGCCACCATGGACAGCAGTGTGGAGGTTCCTCAAAAAATTAAAAATAGAATTGTCATAAAATCCAGCAATTCCACTTCTGGGTATTTATCCAAGGAAACAAAAACACCAATTTGAAGAGCTGTATACACCCAGTATGTTCATTGTGGCATAATTTATAGTCGCCAAGATAATGGAAGCAACCTAAGTATCCATCAACAGTATCCATCAACAGATAAATGGATAAAGAAGCTGTGGTGTGTATATATATATATATATAATATAATATATAATATATGTATATTATATATATATTATATATTATATAATATATGTATATTATATATATATAATACATGTATATGTATAATGGAAAACTGCTTGGCCATAACAATTAATGAAATCTTACTATTTGTGATAACATAAATGGACCTAGAGTATTATGCTGAATGAACTAAGTCAGAGAAAGACAAATACTGTATGATTTCACTGTGGAATCTAAAAAAACAAATGAGCAAAGAAAACAGACATAGACTCATAGGTACAGGAAATAAATTGGTGGTTACCAGAGTGGGGAGTGATTGGGGGGGTTGGCACACTAAGTAAAAGAGGATTACTTAGTTGTACAGACTTCCAGTTGTAAAATAAATAAATGATGGGAATGTGATGTACAGCATAGGATATATAGTCAGTAATATTGTAATAACTTTGTATGGTGACAGATGGTAACTAGACTTACCTTGGGGATCATTTTGTGATGTATAAAAATAACAAATCACTACAATGTATACCTGAAACCAATAGGATATTGTATATCAATTATACTTCAATTTAAAAAAGTGAAACAGGACCTTGTAATAGTTAGGGATGAAGGACACTGATAGACCATTCAGAAATATTAGTGCTTTCTCTAGGAAGATGATTTAACTCTACTAACATTAGACCCAATTCTTTACTTTGAGGGAAGCTATTTTCTTTACCAATGCCCCAGGGAAAGACTGGGAGCAGTGGAGGGAAGTCAGTTGACTGCATTCACTCACCCTAGTTTGTCCACAGACCAACGTTGACCTTTTTCAGGAAGCTGTGAGCATCAGCCAGAGAAGTCTGTAGGGTGTTCAAGTTTTATACTTTGAGAAGCCTAAGGAAAAAGCTCCCAGGTAAACTTGGAATAGTCTGGCATCATCAACTAAGTAATAAGTTAGTTACCTCTTGAATATCTCTTGAGTGGTTACACTCTGTTGGACACACTATGAGTTTGGCTGCCTAGCTTTATGAAGTTTGTTTCTATTTACTTATTAAATGCAATATTCTGCTTTTGAAAAATCCTTACACACATGGAAATGAGAAATCAGAATATGGGATCAGTGTGCTTCCTGGCCCTGTATTTCCTCTGCACTCATGTGTATGCATCCTTTGGGGCACAGACACAGAATGGTGCTGGAGTCTATAGCCACTGGGTTTGTTGGCTGAGAATAATGAGCAACCAATCACTTGCTCCTAAGAAATCAGTAGCTTCTATCTTCATGCTAAATTCATTGGAGCTTACCTATATGTTAACTAGCTGGACTTTCAATGAAAATTTGAGGGGCGCCTGGGTGGCTCAGTTAGTCAAGCATGAGACCAGCTCAGTGATGATCTCGCGGGTTCAGTGAGTTCGAGCCCTGCGTTAGGCTATGTGCTGACAGCTCAGAGCCTGGAGCCTGCTTCATATTCTATGTCTCCCTGCCCTTCTGTTTCCCTCTCTCTCTCTCTCTCAAAAACAAACATTAAAAAGAAAAAAGGTGGGCAGTCAATATTTGTTGAATGAATAGGGGCGCCTGGGTGGCGCAGTCGGTTAAGCGTCCGACTTCAGCCAGGTCGCGATCTCGCGGTCCGTGAGTTCGAGCCCCGCGTCAGGCTCTGGGCTGATGGCTCAGAGCCTGGAGCCTGTTTCCGATTCTGTGTCTCCCTCTCTCTCTGCCCCTCCCCCGTTCATGCTTTGTCTCTCTCTGTCCCAAAAATAAATAAAAACGTGGAAAAAAAAAATTTAAAAAATATTTGTTGAATGAATAAATGAATCTTATCTAGATTCTTGGCCTTTTATCCACATTGGTAATATATTACTTAACCATGAATATGCAGACTTATGCAGATTTCCTTAGATATCTACAAGTTAATGATGCACGGTGAGTATTTCTATAAAGTATTATTATAAATTTGAAAGTATGCAGATTAGACTTGTCTGCATGGAGGCAGGCAGGTTAAATTTTATGGTTCCTGTTATTTCTAGTGATAAGAGACTTGCATATGAATATCTGAAAATTGTGAAATTTTAAGCATTTGTGAAATTTGTGAAAATTGTAAGCATAGTATTTCTTTATCTGTTTTTGTGCTGTTTTGTAAAAGAGTCAATTCTGTATTCACAGCTGGAGTTGGTGTAGGTTTTAAATTCATTAAGTGGACTCCTCCTTTCCCACCTGGGGGTAGATCAGCCCAAGAGAAAAAGAGACTTATTTTAAGGCTTCTTCCTCTTCCAAATCCCAAAGGTCATGTTGCTAATGCCTTCTGGAAAGAAAGGGAGATTACAGCCAGTATATTAAGTGGTTACTTTCTGCTGACTGTGCGCATGCCCACACACACTTGTGCAAACATACTTATACCTAAAAGAAGAATCCTTCAAACTGAGGCTTTTGTTAACAACTGTGTGAGGAGTATTTATTATTGAAATTTATTTTAATATATAAATAGGCAAACTTTATTTCTAACTCAGAGTTAATACGTGTCCATTGTGGGACGTTATGAAAATAAAGAAGACGACAACAGCTGCCCATAATCCTACCACACAAATAACAACCATTCTTAGCATTCGGTCAAATTTGCTTCCAGTCTTTTTTGATGGGTTTTTATGTAATTTTAATAGGAACGTTTAGCATAAGCATCTTAACAGATACTTAAAATTTTGTGTGAACATCAATTTTAATAACTACATGATATTCATCTTACAGATAGATACACCTTACTACTTAACCATTCTCTTAATATTGAGATTTGGACTGTTTTCAGGTGTTTTTTTTCCCCTTCAGTTTTTTGATAACACAAATAACATTTTTGAGATTAATATCATTGTTCTCTACCTTTATTACTGTTTCCTGAGGTTCGATTCCTAGAAGTAGGATTATTGAATCAAAAGGAACGACCATTTCTATAAAGTTCTTAACCAGGTATTACAAAATCACATTCCAGAGATGTTATGCCAGTTTTCATTTTCACCGTGGGTGTGTGTGAAAATAACTTTTCCCTCCTTTCACAAGGAGGGAAAACTGTACTTGTTGCCAAGCAAGAGTCAAAAATTACACAGAAGTTTAAATAAATTTAAACTTTAAATAACTTCTCTCAGACAATATATTCTTTTAACATTGTTTCGGTGTAGATCCTGTACCCATGTTTTAACTTTGGATGTAGCCTAGAATATTGTCCAAAGGAAAATAGAGTGGTTTTTATTTTATTAGTAATAGTTAATATTTTCATTATAGAATTTTCACCCTTTTACAGGGAAGTCTCTATGTTAGATAAGAAAAGAGTCAAACAAATCCATTACCTTCCTATAGAAGAGCTAGTTTCTTGTAACCTTTGTTTAGGTTTTAATCACCCCAGAAGTTTTATCCCTCTTAGGGCCCATGGGTTGGCTCACATGTCCTATGAGTAAATACAAATGCTTCCTTCAATTGGAAGCAAAACCAGTACACCCCTTACTTATAAAGTGAGTTAAAAAACAAGAAGAAAGAATAATATAAAAACTGAAGGAAGGTAGTAAGTAAAGTATTTAGCTTTCTGAAACAATTCAAATGGGGATAGGAAGTTGGTTTTAAATGGCTTAAGGGAGATTAGGGTTTTAAAGTTGGATAAGGAGTTTGGTGCTTTGGTTTAGGCATGGCATTGCTTTTAAAAGATTACTTCCATATTTGACAACAATTCTCACTGGAGATTATAAAGCAAATAGTCAATTTTAAAACACTATGGAATACAAGAGGGCTTCTTTTTGTTGTTGTTTGTTTATACAAAATGATTGCCTAGAGTTAACAGGCTGAGTCCTGAAGCCCACATTTCATAACACTACTGAGGATCTGTCACCAGGGAGAATTCAGCAGAGGTTGTTTAATGCACTTAATTGAGATTATCTGAGCTTTTGGTTTAAATTACTTTGGGAAAAGTCTAGGTACAAACGGCTTCTTTGAAAGGTAAACATACTTAACCTCTAAGAAAAAAGGTTCAATTTAAGTTCTTTGAAATTCTTCAAACAGGTAGTAGCACCAACCCTTACTAATTAAATGAGTATAAACTGAATAATGTGTAAAGATTAAATCTCCATACATCAGTACAAGTGTTAATATAATTCTATGAACAGTGTGTTTATTATTGTACACTTGTTTGAAAATGCAATCAGGTACCGTATTAGAAAATCATCCCCTGCCAATTTAGGAATTTCAAAAGTAAAAAGATAGTACATGCTATTTTGGTTATAAAGTATAGTTAATGATAAAGTTTAAAAATTGAATTCCTTATTCTGTTCCACCTAGGAAGGAGGGCACATTAAGATCAAGGATCAAGAATGACATATACTTTATGTATTAGCTGTGGATAAATACTCAAAAGTTGGTTTAACATTTTTGCCCTGTCTTCCTCAGCTCCTTGACCTGTTTATGGTTTGGGATTGGTCTACTTATCTAGCTGATTATGGACAGCCTGCTTCTAAGTACCTTCGGGTGAATCCAAACACAGCTCTTACTCTTTTGGAGAAGTGAGTATATTCTGAAAACATTTTTGCATAACATTTTAGCATTTTGTGATTTAGTGATGATTGAAGAACTAGAGATTTTCAACAAAAGAGAAATGTCTAAATGGAGCTTAAAAGCTCAGTCCATTTTAATGGCCAAAACATAAGCCTCTTTCTTTCTTGGTGCAGTGTTGGTGTAGTTTTTATATGAGATTGCTGTTTATGTTCATGTGAACAAAAATTTTCCTATTGCATCCTCAATAGCAGGCTTAATTGGCCTTAGGAATATGTTTACTGGAGATGAGTGAGAATTGGAACTTTTTTTTTTAATGGTATAACACAGAAAAGAAGGTGTTTTGTAAAATGTGGCTAGCCATTGGCCTGTTTGCTGTCGATATCCTACCATGATGGACTTGGATTCTTTGTGCAGATAGAGAAGTATGTGATAAAAAGAAAAAATAAATAGAAAAAATAAAATAGTAAGAACTGAAGTAACAGGACATTTGCTGGTGCATCTTTGTCCAATTAAAAATGACAGAAGTTTAGGGGTTACTTTTCCCTCACTATGTGACAGATTTTCCTTTCGCTTAATCATATTTCATTTTAGGTATCAGTATGAAAAATATCTATTATTTTCCCACATTTCAAATATCTGTGATGTATTTGATGTGAGAGGACAGAAAGAACTGTTTAAAATAAATGTAAATTTACCATATCATGAAACACTACTGAGGCCAAAAATAAATAAATAAATATTGCTTTAAATTTTCTAATGTTATTTTTCTTTCACCTTGTCTCGCTATGAATGTGATTTGCAGAGTCCATAGAGGGTATGTATTTTAGCATACTTTGTGGAATGATATTAGAAAATAGTATGATATTAGAAAATGTAACATACTTTAGATTTACATACTAATGCAAAAACACTACTTCATGTAGAATGTAAAATGAAGCTGCTAATTTTTTGTGTGGTTGCTATCTCTGTATTTTTATTAGTACCTATTTTCTTTGAAGAATATTTTTCAAGCATAGGACTGGTGTGAGATAATTCAGAGCATGCCAAGATAATTTACTTATGACAGCATAGCTTTTAATTTCCTTTTACCAAGCCTCTCCATTCACATATATTCCTAGGATGAAGGATACTAGCAAAAAGAACAACATATTTGCTCAGTTCAGGAAGAATGATCGAGACAAACAGAAGTTGATAGAGACAGTCGTGAAACAGCTAAGAAGTTTGGTGAATGGTATGTCCCAGCACACCTAGACTTCGATTGCACTCAGTGACACCAAATCTGTGATTCAACATTGATCTCTAACAGGCACAGGTCATGATACAGTAATTTGGTTGCAGAATTAAAAAATGGAGTAGAAAAAAGACACTAATGAGAGATTAAACAAGAAACAATAAAAATATCATTTCTACGGAATTTTAAATAATTGGATACTATTTTATATGTGGAAAAGGTGACATTAATTTTTTTCACTTTTAGGGAAAAAAGGTAAAACATAAATCAGGTCAAAAATTGTATATGAAATTGATTGTAAATACATTAGAAAAACCTTATATGCCTCTACATATAAGTATTTTTTTCTATTCAGACTTGAATGATTTTTCTGGGTTCTTTTCATCAGTATCCAGTTTTGGAATGCAATCATGTCTGATATGGGAGTATTTCACTGTCATTTTGTGACTGTTAACTTTTATTTTCATCTCAATATGATTTAAGTAGACTAAATTTTCCAGTTCTGCAGATTCGGCAGGGGGGTGGTATACAAATCTTTAAAGGTCCCTGAAATCAAACTTGATTTCTGTAAGAATATGAATTATTTGTTCTCCTTGGATGGTTTAATTTAATGGTTCTGAATATGAAGAAAAAGTGTTTGGATTTTCTTGAGATGCAGTGTTGCTGTTGAGCAGGGTTAATATTTCTAACTATATTGCTTGTAGCTGACCCCATTCTAGGATTTATTTGGTTTGGTTTGGTTCAAGTTAAAAGAGGGCAGGAACGAAGTGGGGTAAGCTACTTGAGGTGCTGCTTGTGCTAGGGTAGATACGTTCCTACACACAGAAGTTGCCACAGGGCTCAGGTTCCTGTCTTCAGTAGCAGATCTCAGTACCTGTCCGCGGTATGGAAACAAGCCAAACCAAATGAACGCTGGAAAATCTAAAATGAACGTACATTTTCTTCTGTGTAAATTACCACCATGGTCCTAATGATAATATCAGTCTGATCGCAACTTTCTTCTCATTGTATTTATGCTGAATATTTCTTTTCCATTTTCAGGATTTATGCCTGTAAGAAACTTCTACTTAACTCTGTAAAATAAGTGTAAAGAATTATATGTACATTTCTTGATTTTGTGATGAAATATTAAAAATGTTGAGCAAGTTGAAAATGCATTGCTATTGCATCTATTCAGAGCTTCCTGATTTAAAATAACTGCTTCCTTCAGAAAGACTGTTGTTATTCCCTAGTTATTGGAATGGGGAGTGTCACCAAAACAAAGATACAAGTATTTATTGACCGCCTCAATCCTAAAGTACTGCACATTTAAAAAAAACAAAAACAAAAACCTACATGGAGAACATGGTAATTCTTCAGGCACAATAAAATCTGGAAATTAGAAGAGAGCGGTGAACAGCTAGCTCTTTTTGAAGACTGTGGAATGTGGCTGCCCCTCGCGCGCCTTACCCAGCCCTGCAGGGCATTCGGGATGTCTCTCTCTGGCTTTCTTTGAGGCGTCCCCGGATCCGGAGAGACGCCGGCTTAGGACTGCTTGGAGTAGACCACCGTGGGTCCATGGCGGTGATGGTGTGGGGTTCCCTTTCTTCTATAATACATACAACATCCGGCCCCCTTCCCGCCAACCCGCGGGTGGCACTGTAGGGACCGGCACGAACCCTGGGGCATTTGGAGCCCTCGGACGGACCCACACAAAACGGAGAAGCAACCAGGTAGACTGACTGGGGTCGAGCGGGGTGGCCTCCGGAGTGGGAAGGAACGGTGAAATCGGCCCTTGAGACCCGTAGGGCGCCCGGAGATCTCTGCCTCTGGTGGGACTAGGGTGTCTCAGTGAAGCTCTGGGCAGCAGTGACACACACGACCATGTTTTGAAGGGGTCCCGAAGTGGTAGGTCAGAAACAGGGGCGGTGTGGAGATGTCCGGGAATCTCGACCCCGGCTACCCCTTGTAGGTGCTTGCAATGCGAGGCATCTAAGACCCCGGTTTCCCTGGGATTTGAAACAGAGCAAAGGGGATAACCCTTCAACCTTGGAGTGTCGGAAGGGGAAGGGGCACCTGCAACCCCGAGGATGGGGATGCCACAGAGCCCGCGTTAGCGGAGAGCGCGGGGTTCGCCCACCCGCGGGGCTGCGGCGTACAGCCGGGCACTTCTGGCGCGAAATCGCAGGCCCCGCCCGAGGATCGGCGCGGGGCGCGGCCCCCAGCCCAGCCCGAGCGCCGCGGCGGCTGCCACTCCTTACTCCTCGTCCCTGGGTGAGCGTGCCGCTGCCCACCGCCTCCAATCACTACTCTGCTCGGAGGGCTTTAAATATGCATGGGCACGTCACGTTGTATGAGTCGGGACCGGTCCGTAGGGAGGGAGCCAATATCTATATAAATGTGGCCAGGGTGGGCCGGGAAGAGAGGGAGGTGGGGCGGGGGTCTACAGCCCCGGTGACCGCAGCCCAAGTTGGCGACACCGGTGAGTTGCTCCTCTCTCGGCTCTCCCTCGCTGCTTCTATCAAAGGAGCGCTGACCCGGGGAGGAGGTGGGAGGTGCCGCGGGTGCCGGGCGCCCCCCGGTCCCCAGGCAGCCGGCACCCCAGCGAGGACCTGGCATTTGGGCCCAGAAGGCGTCGGACTAGAGGAAGGCACGTTCCCTAAGGGCGTGTGGTCACTGCCGCCTTCTACTACCGGTCTGCTTCTGGAGCGAAGTCCCTGTCCGAGGTTTTAAATCTCGGTTTTGGTCCCCAAGCCCCAGGCCCTTTCCGGACCGAACAGGTGAGCACTGCGTGCTACCAGCGCCCCAGCTCTCGCGCCCCCAGTGCTCCGAGCCGCCTGGCCGCCCCCCGCAGGCTCGCCATGTTCCCCTGGGGGCTGAGCTGCCTGTCAGTGCTGGGGGCAGCGGGCACCGCTCTCCTGTGCGCCGGCCTGCTGCTCAGCCTGGCCCAACACCTCTGGACGCTCCGCTGGACGCTGAGCCGGGACCGGGCCTCCGCCCTGCCCCTGCCCAAGGGTTCCATGGGCTGGCCCTTCTTCGGCGAAACGCTGCACTGGTTAGTTCAGGTGAGTGGCTCACACCCCATCGTGCTCTCACCCCGACATGACCCCTTCCACCCTGACTCCCACGGGACCCTCCTCGCTCTCAGTGTGCTCCCAGGGTTCGTAGCCGGTCTCGTCCTATCGCCCAGGGCCCCAGAGAGCATACACAGACCTCGCCTTTGTCCAGCTGCTCCCTCGAAGGGACCGTATGTCACCGGGGTTATCCCCAGCGCTACTTAAACACGACACGACACGACGCCAGGGTGAACAGAGGGGTTCTAAGAAGCATTCGCTCTATACCCTGCAAGCACATAATCAGGAAGCCCGGGCGCTCTCAGCCATGAGCCCTCGGGCTCTCACATCCCCATTCTGAGCCTCAGTCTCTTCCTCGCCCCAACGGGAACAGGAGAATCTACATTTCAATGGGGTAGTCGCGAGGCCCATTTGAGACTCGGTTTTGTAGAGACTCCACGCGCCGGCCTGGAGCAGGGAGTTGTTACCGAGGGGCGGTTGGGAGGCCTGGGCCAGACCCTCAGCCGAGACCCAGCAGCTCCAGCCTCGCTCCGCCTCGCTTGCAGGGCTCTCGCTTCCACAGCTCCCGCCGGGAGCGCTACGGGACAGTGTTCAAGACGCACCTGCTAGGCAGGCCGGTGATCCGCGTGAGCGGCGCCGAGAACGTGCGCACAATCCTGCTGGGCGAGCACCGCCTGGTGCGCAGCCAGTGGCCGCAGAGCGCGCACATCCTACTGGGCTCGCACACTCTGATCGGCTTAGTCGGTGAGCCGCATCGGCAGCGGCGCAAGGTGAGCCAAAACCTGCGATTCCTGGGCACCTATTGTGGGTCAGGCCAGGGCTAGGTTTCAGGGGCACACTTGGAAGCTGGCAGAGCCCCCTGGCTAACCAGTGGTGGCTTTGGTCCAGTCCCTTACCTTTTGCCGCTTTGGGTTATAAGGCTAGGACTGGGACTTAAGGGACATTTCATCTCCAATCTTCTATGTGTGGATGATACCAGAATGGGTGGGGAAAAGGGACCAGAAAGCCCCCCTTGGAGAGGGACCAGGGACGACTTCCCGGAGGGAGTGGCAGCTGGAACCTGGATGGATGGGAGGGACTGTAAACATCAGAGATTTAGAGTCTGGGAATGGCGATAGCAAAAGCCAACACATTTAGGTCTGGGCCGCTTAGAAGAAGAGAAGGGGACCGACATTGGCATTCTGGTGCCTCTGGAATCGCGGAGCAGAGGAAGCCGGACCATGGCCAGTGCTGACCCCGCGGGCTTCCCACAGGTCCTGGCTCGAGCGTTTAGCCGTGCGGCGCTGCAGCGGTTCGTGCCCCGCCTGCAGGGGGTGCTACGGCGCGAGGTGCGCTCCTGGTGCGCGGCCCGCCGGCCGGTTGCTGTCTACCAGGCCTCCAAGGCTCTTACCTTTCGCATGGCTGCGCGCATTTTACTGGGGCTACGGCTGGACGAAGCGCAGTGCGCGGAGCTGGCCCGGACCTTTGAGCAGTTTGTAGAGAACCTCTTCTCGCTGCCCCTGGACGTACCCTTCAGCGGCCTGCGCAAGGTACTGCCGCTCTGGCCTCAAACCTTCCTCGTGGGGCTTCCCAGCGTGGGTGTGTCTTCCAGGCGAAGACCAGTCTCTCTGCGCGCCCCACGCGTCGCCTCTCCGGGGGAACCGAGGCTTCGCCCAGGGTGGGGAGGTGGCATGGTGTGGCGGTGGGCGTCGGGGCTGGCCTGTCCTCACTGGCTGTGCGATCCCAGCCTCTCAGGGCCGTGCCTGCCGGGCCCGCGCGCTCGACCCAGCAGTCGCTGGCTTCCTGACTTTGGGTCTCCGTGGTGGGCACCCAGGCCGTCATCCCAGCACGTCTCCAGAGCGGTGCCCCCTGGCCCGGCCTCCAGCGCCTTTGTGGAAGCCCGGATGGCTGCGGAACCGATGGGAGCACTAGCCCCGCAGACACTCCCCCGGCCTAGCCCGGGTCGGAGAGGTGTGGGTGCCGGCTTCCCGTCCGCGGCCCCGGCCCCACTGATTTCTGGGTCAGAGAACCGCTGCTTCTTCAGACCTCAGAGCTGTGGGCCAGGCCCAGAGAGCAACCAGGAGGGCCGAATTTGCCT